AAATCAGACTCCTCATTCAGGACCCAAGTTAGAACCAGGAGGTGATACAGAGGATAAGACCTTGATACAGAGGACAAGAGAAGTCTGAGGATAAGACTTCCTCAGAAATTTCACTATTTCTCCTTTCTTCAACTCCAGTATGACTGCTTTGGATCTCTGGGTCTGGGCAGTAGAGAAACACAACCCTCCAGCAAGGTCTTTCTCCATTCCAAATATCTTCCTCCATTAACCCAGCCCTGATGACAGGTGGGCACTGTTTCTTCTTTCATAGAACTCTAACAGAGCACCAGCTATTATCTTCTGAACTTGAAAAACAGCCTTTGAGATCTAATCCTCCTGCTTAATTTTAGCCTGCTATGTGCATATTTGGGTGGGTAAACTGCACCAGATTCTTGGAGTTGGGGTAGGGGAATCATGGCATTCTGAAGAAGTAGCAATTTTAACAACAATCGCCCAAAACTCTTGCCTTGTTTACCAGTTTGTTCTCTGAGTGCCATATGCACTGCCTCTTCAGGTAACCTGCTATTAAAGTCTCATTATCCAGGCACGACAGACCTGGTAGAGAACTGATTACCTCGTCCCTGCTTTCTGCATGACAGCTAAGCCCCAACCTTCCCCCTACACACACACACCCACCCAGCAAAACAAGGGTGAATCATGGTCTATTCAACAGCACTCACAGGCACTTTGCTCTTTTATTTCATTAGGAGCTCTTCTTCGGAGCTAGGGTAGCCTACTGACTAAATTTCAGTTCTTTCCACCATGAGCCAAGAACCAAAAATAAAAAGGCACCATAGACTGAAAAAAAAAAAATCAGAATTTGCATGAAATCAAGGGCCTGTGATGACCCCTACAGACAGGAATGAAAATAAAGCTTGTTCAAAAAAGTCAATAAGCAGCTGAATTATTAACTTCATTTAGCATCCAAGTAGCTGATAAGGCTGGTGTGGCTCTGGAGAAAGCAGAGGCAAACAAAGCACCTTACTTACAGCTTTACAGCATTCTCTCACCACATTGAGCTGTCATTCAGACTGGGGTCTCCAAAAGGATAGAAACACATTTCTTCTGGACATCACCATATCCTTACCTCCTGACATGACACTTGGCACATAACAGAGTTTAATAAAGAAAGAAATAATCTAAAACAATAGCTACCACTTACTAGGTTCTTGCTATGTATTATACAAGAATTTCTCATTTTAGCTTCAGACAAACTAAACAATAGGGTATCATAATGCTCATCTCAAACAGACTTTGTAACATGCCCAACATATAGGCAGTACATGGTGTTGCTGAGATTTGAACCTAGAAACACACCTTTGCTCATACTCCTCCAACTATCTGTGAAGTCATCTGTGAATGATATAGTTAAAGGAATCTGTGTCAACCTTAATAACCAGGTAGGTGGGAGATGGGGAGCCATAGTTGCCATTTCTATTAGTAAAGAATCTCATATTTAGCCTTTAAACCTGCCTGTTGGGGGCATTTTTGGGGCATTTTTGTGAGACACATGGCTTCACAGTAAACATCAATTAAGCCAATTCCAAGATAATTTCTACCTGAAAGCCAGGCCCAGACCTCCTCAGGGGTGGGCCTTTTGCCTTATCCTCTGGGTTCTTTGGCTAATGAAAATTATAGATGATATTAACACATGACTTATAAGGCACCATAACCTCACAGGACACAAGGGTTAGCTCCAGGGCCTGAGCCCTTGGGATTCATAATGTATTATTGGTTGATTTCCAAGATCAGCTTCTGAAAATATATTATTGTAGGTTTTCAAGGTCAAGCTAGCACAAATCTTTTCCCACCCAAGACAGTGAGGCCAAGTTCCATTTATTTCCTGCCACATATTAAACTAGAAGATAATATCAGCCTGGCATCTCACATTAATTGCAAAATTCTTGTTACCCTAAAAGGCACTAAATTTTCATTGATGCCCTACTTTCTACTAGAGTTTCTATAATTTTCATATTAATTTATAAGTGCTCTTTATGTAAGAAAGATGTCATCAATTTTCTGAATAATTTTTACAAATGTAAATTCTTTCCTCATTTAGTCTTTTGCCTTCTATTCTACATGTTATGTTTTTGATATTAACAAGTTAAGCTTTGTGTGACTAAATCTCTCAGTCTCTCTAGTTTCTGGGATTTATCGCATCCCCAGATTATATGCTACTCAGAAACATGATGCAATTTTTAATATTTAAGTCTTCAGTTCTCCTCAGAATTTGTCTAGTTACATTATGTGGATAAAATACCATATTCTTACAGTTTACCACAGTTAACTGAGAATAACTCATCCAATAAGGTCCCTTCTGCCAAAAAAAGAGCAATAAAATTGATCTATTCAGGTAATACATTGAATGCTCATGTCAAAGTGATAGGTATAAATTAAAATCCAGACACCCAAATGATGAATCTGGCTATCCTGGAGGATTCAAGCCAATACATCTATTTTCTCTTTAAAGAAGAATGTTGTTATCTCATCTCATTTTGGTTCCTTAAAACAAGAAATAAAGGACATAAACGGTCTCCCTAAAGAATGTAGAAACAGCTGTTAGAGATGCAAGCTCAGCTCAGACACCTTCCTGGCCAGGCAGGGGCAGGTGGTTAGCTATGGGGGAGGAGGCTTGGTCTCAAGCAATCTCGGTGAATCTATAGGGTCCTTTACAGACAGTGGCCAAGTCCAAGCCTAGTGATTAATTTTTAAACTATAGAATGGAAAACAAACATGTATAGGGTAATGAAGATTGTGTGGAAAACAGACAGCAACTCAAACAGAGTCCAAGCAAGGTTAATTATCTTCAGCTGTATGTTCTGGTAAAGAAAGGGCTATTATTTAAATTTAGAGATTTACAAATATTCTTTTACCAGAACACATACTGCTTATTGGGGTCTCCCTCCTACTTTTTGATTTAGAATCCCTAAGTGAAGGAATCAAGAACATATGGACTCCATAGAAAAATTCATAAAAGCAAATGAGTAAAAAAAAAAAATACACACTAAATCTAGACACATTTCACCTATCAAAATTCAAAAGGCTTTCCCTGGATGTATTCTATAATTGCTTTCTTTATTTGTGGCAACCAAAGGTTTGTAAGGTGTTTCAAGGTAAGAAGGGAAAAATGAGTTTGAGTAAAACCCATTTCTGAGGTTGTTCATGGCAAGTATATAGTCCCGAGCCAGCCTTTGCCTGCCCAGCCCTGCCCAGCCCTGCCTAGCAAGATCATTCCCTTCCATCTCCTCCAGTTTGGAATTTGGGTTCATTCAGGGGTTCATGCCACTGTTCCTTTCCACTAGGGTGAGAAACCAAGATTGTTTCATACTGGGAGACCATGTGACAACAAATCTTGCCACACAGTGACTGTCACCCTTTCACACAAAATGGAGTCTGCATCTTGCATGAAGAAGATTTTTTCCACTTTCCTAAAACTGCATCAGGGCTGGAGCTCTGTGACACTGGCTTTGTACCCAATCATTGCTTTGAAAACGAGTTACTAGGCTGGGTGTGGTCGTGCACACCTGTAATCCCAGTTCTTGGGAGGTCAAGGCAGGAGGATCACTGTCAGTTTGAGGCCAGCCTGGGATACTTTCTGAGTTCAAGACCAGCTTGAACTACACAGCAAGATCCTGTCTCAAAAAACCAAAAGATAAATAACAAAAACAAACTGGTAACTAAATTCCTTTTGAAATAAATTAAACATTCAAAATTCAGAGCATTAAGATAAATAATAACAGCACAAATCCAGTTCAAATATCAGTTATTCACACTATGGCATGTAGAGAGAACGTGCCAGAGCTGGCTAGACACTCATACACACATACGCCCCCAAATACACACACTCAAAAGAGTTGCAAATTCATGCATGTCAAGAGGAGATTTTTAGCCCAAGTGATAAATAGTAGTATTTTTGTACATCCTGTCAAACAAATATCAATCCTTGACAGACACTGACTTTTTTTTTTTAATATTTTAACCCTAGCCCTTTGTGGGAGAGTGTAGAGAATCTGAAATGTTAAAGAGAAAAAAAAAGTCTTTCCTCATTATGGCACCAAAAATTTGGATGTAAACTAAAAAAACTGCACTGAGCCATTCCAGTGTTGCCAGACACATCTGCATGTTCTAAAACATCTACCCAATATCCAGCTTTCCTATGGGATCTTATGTCATAAACCTAACAGAGGGTCATAAAGCACATGAAATAAGAAGTGTGGAATATGCTTGGTTGCACCTTCATCTTAAAACTACTGGTATTTCAATAGCTTCATAGTCTCAAAAGGGTCAAAGAAAAATATTCTAAAAGCTAGAGCTTCTCTGAGCTACCCTTAAAGCACACTCAGCCTCTACATGGATATACTACAGTGTAAGATTTGGGCAGTTACTTAGGGACTTTGGACAGTGTAGGCAAACCAACGCCCCACTGCCATTTCTAATCATTCCATCCCAGTTTAGAGGACTTAATATAGTGGTGAGTCTCGGGCATGGAAAACGGAGATAAAAATGAGCCCACCATAAAGATGGTCGTAAGACTCAATAGCTGCTCTATGTCAAGCGCCAGGCATCAGGGAGGCCAGTTCTATGAGTGGACACCACCCGCTGCCCAGGTCACTCCCCAAGCTCCCCATCATATGGAGTGCACAGGATGAGAAGTGAGGCTGAAGAGTCAACTCAAAGAGTAGTTTGCTTTCTGAGGCTAATAATGCTCACCAACAAATATTTGCCCCATTTTTTAATTTCAAATGTTTCATTAATTACAGAAAGAGAAAAATAATACCTCGTCTAGGAGTCCCAATAAATGCATTGAATGAAAATGGAAGAATTTATCATTTATAATACCCTTTCCAAGTCTTCTTAGAAATCTAAGTATTTTGGAACATAGGCACCACCACCCCACCCCTAGCCCCACTCTGAGGGGATCCCTACTGCTTGGACAACAGCTTTCATTTTTAAAGTGTGAACTAATTCGAACGCATGAATGACTGCTTGTTTCCTTGTAGAGTTGAAGAAAGTTTTAAAACCTTGTTTTGGTCCATATTCGGCTTATCGGAAGTGATCTCGGTGGTGCTGAAATACGACCACAAATTCATTGAGAACATAGGCTACGTTCTCTACGGTGTTTATAACGTCACCATGGTGGTCGTACTGCTCAACATGCTAATAGCCATGATTAACAACTCCTACCAGGAAATCGAGGTAAGGCTAGTTCATTGGAAATACTCTCCCTTCCTTGTGTAACTGATACTGTTGCTTTCAGCAATGAGGGTGATGACATCAGAAGGCTTGAGTTACAATTAAATGCGAGGCTTCGCCAACAAACAGTAAACATTCTTCCGGTGGCCTAAGCAATGCACTGGTTGGTCTGCCACGTAATATGGCTAGTATACCCACAGGAAAAGACACAACAAAAACGCAAAGAACTACTCTTTGACACGTGGGCCCTTAGAACACCATCCACGTGGCTGATGCCACATCTAAATGAGTGTTGTTCAGCCTGCTCCCTTTCTGCTTCTCACTTGCTATTTAGGTGCCTACTATATGTCAAGCCTGTGCTAGGCACTGTGGATACAAAGAGGACTAAGACACAGCCCCTGCTTTGAGGAACTCATAGTCCAGAGAGAGAAACAGCTATGGCGATCAACAAATCACTGGCTCTAAAGCCAGCACGACTGGGTATAGGAGATTTAAAGGAAAGAGCGATTGGTCATGGGGATATAAGCTTCCAGGGCTACTTGAAGAGCACTTAAACACAAAAACAATTTTGCCATGCAGATAAGGAGATTAAGAGAAAGTACCAGGAAGCAATTTATCAAAATCTGTAATTTATAAACCATAAGCTATTGATTGCAGTCTTGCTTAGAATATCAAGAAATTAAAGCAAACTAAATGAGCATTAACAGGAATCTAGTAAATAGAATTTTATGCATCTGAACAACAAGATGCTGTGCAATTTAATAAAAAAGATGACGTTCTTTGTACGCTGATGGTAGAATGTGCACTCGTTTGTAATTGCAAAAGGTTTTTGGTTTGTTGATTTGGTTAGTTTGTTTTGCTGTACTGAAACACAGTAGCTTTGAACTACAATCCCTAGATCTTCTTATTTGTTATTTTGAGGTAAGTTCTTGCTAAGTTGCTGAGTTGCCCAAAGTGGCTTCACACTTGGGATCTTCCTGTCTCAGCCTCCCAGCATACTAGGATTATAGGTGTGTACTACCACACACACATTTTTTAAAAAGAAATAAACCTTTGAAAATATCCTTAAGAAAAGCACGACTAGGGTGACTGCTTGGAGGGGGCATTAGAGGTGGGATCTCTTTTACTTTATACATATTTTCTTATGCTTTACTAAACCATGTTTACCTATTATAGAGTTAAGTAAAATTATCTAAAATTTAAAATGCATTAACCCATCTAGTCTGCATTTCCAGTTCTAAGAATAGATCCACACATGAATGTGACTTTTACATAACTGTTTACTCAAGGGAAAATTTAGAAATAGCTCATAAATATCAGAATGTTTAAACTGAGACAGTCACACTTTAGACTACTCTATATAAACAATGATAAAGACTTTTTGTACTGAAGTGGAAAAATCCCTCAGGTATTATTCTGTGGAAAAACTGCAAGTTGCAGAAAAATGCAAACAGGAAAATCTCATATTTACATAACAATGCAATTATAAATATATGGAAAGAAAAGAGAGAAAATGGGATAGTATCAGCCTCTTGGTTGGGAATCCTCTCAGAAAGGGAGTGTAAAGAGAAAATGGAATTCAAAGGGAGCTTTCATATGTGCTTGGTATAGCTCTGTACTTACCTTAAGAAACCCAAAGTTATATTCCTCATGTAGAGAAAGTAAAGATCTCTGGTCTTTATTTGCTATGACTTTCAATTACAAAAAACAAACAAACAAAAAAAAAAGATAGCACAGACTGCATGGTTTAAACATCAGGAATGTATTTTCTTATAGTTCCAGAGGGGAGGAGATCAAAAGTGCCTGCAGGGGTGGGTTCTCGTGAGCCCTGCCTGCAGACAGCGTCTTCTTGCTGTGTTTGCATGTGGCCCACAATACCGCTGGTTTAGGGTCCCACCCTGTGATTTCATTTAACTCTGACCACCTCTCTGAAGAATCCACCTTCAAACACAGTCACGTTCCAAGGTAAGGGGGTGCAGGGCTTCAACATAGGAATTTTAAGGGGGTAAAATTCATCCCAATAACACCACAAAAAAAGAAAGAAAGAAGAAAAAGGAAAAAAAGGGAGTATTTCAAACCATCTCAGGATAGGAAGGGGCAGAACAGTGTGAGTGTTCAGCATCACCAGAGCATAGCTTGAGCAGGGAGGAGAGGTGAGTTGTGTCGTAAAGCCTTAGCAGTCTGCTACTGTGCTCTCAGGAAAACACAACACTGTGTAGGCAACTAAATTCTTAAAAAAAAAAAAAAAAAAAAAGACAAAAAAACCTTTCTATATTTGGTTACCATGTGGATGGTGAATACCTTGTTGCTAAAGAGTCCTGCCCTTTGGGCCTCAGTTTCTCCACAGATAAAAGAAACTCAGATGATGTCTGCATAATCTGCAGATCTCTGTGCTGCTTACCCAGGGCAGCCTCACCACAGATGGACAAGTATGTCAGGCTTTGGTCCTAATGACTGTAGCATGAGAGTGCATGTGGTTTGCAAAGGGATGCCACTAACTTAGGGGAATAGACAAGCTCACAGCGTGTGAGGTTAAGTTACCTTAGCATGGAATGGAGACAGAGACAGGGAGGGAAGGAGAGAGCAAAACCAGGGAGAGAGAAAGAGGGAAAGGGAAGGAAGGTGTCATGGTTTATGTTGGTGGCCCCCAGGCCTCATGCATTTGCATGAGGGAGAGGGAGTGAGAGGGAGGGAGAGAAAGGGAAAAGGACAGGGAGAGGGAGAGAGAGGGAGGGAGGAAGGAAGGAGGAGACAGAGAGCACTCCCTGCAGCCCCACACCTTCCTTTTGCACTCTAAACTTCTCTTGGGTGAGAGCACGTATGCCCAGCTGTCTCATTGGAAAATGACAGGTAATCATGACCAAGCTTAGCTTTGATGAAGTGAATATTTGTATCCTCCCATGTATTAAGTCTTGAACACCTACTACCCCAATCCATCCTGGCCTGCATCTTACCTGCTGGCCCCTCCACCCCATCTGGGCAGAGCCATCCCACTTTATCTGGAGCAGCTGCTCCTGGGCCCAGAAGCCACCCCCAGCAATCACCCCAGCCCAGCCTCCCTGCATCTTCACCCTCTCCATCTCTACCCAATCCTTCCTATCAGTATTTGAGTCTCTTGTTCTTAAATAAAAAAAAAAGAAAAAAGAAAGAGAAAGGAACTATAAAAAGTCCTTGTTCCATCTCACTTTCAGCTCAGAACACTCTCTCTCCATTGTGCTTTCTTCCCAACCCTCTCCAGAGCTGTTTACACTTCTCACTGCTTCTCTGATAGTTAACTCCTCCTCCTACTCCTACTCCTCCTTCACCCAACCCCACCTGCCCCCACTTGACCTGGTTGAAAGCTATTCAGCTCTGACACCAGCTATGGGGAGGCTGCTGAGCCCCAGATTAGAGCCCAGTGTGGCATAAACACACCTACAGACTGGCTAACGCGCAGTGTACCCAATTCGTTGACCAGGCTCTCTGATCGCAGGCCACGTTACTCCTTAGAATAGGTGGGTCATGGAGTGGATGATTTATAGATGTTTACTAAGGGCTGACCACTGTGCAGGGCCTGTGCTAGACTATGGAAAAGGAAATAGTATTGTTTTTTTTAGGGCTTACTTAATATCTTGCACTGTTAAATGTCTTCTAAGCATTAATTCTTTTTAATTCTCACTACACATCATGAGATAGATAGATAGATAGATAGATAGATAGATAGATAGATAGATAGATATTATTCTTATTTACAGATGAGATAACTGAGTCAATTACCATGGTTTTGCAGTAGGTAAGGAGCAGAGCCAAGGTTTGAACCCTGGCCAGCCCCAGAACCCATGCTCTTCTTACTTCTGTACAACCCTTCCTTTCAATCTGGGTGAATCGAGGTGTACCTGTTATAGTTTTCTTGAACAGCGAGAGCAGAGTAACCTATGTCCTCAAAAACTGTACATAGTGGTGCACCTCTATAATCCCAGCATTTGGGAGGCTAAGGCAGGGCAATCATGAGTTAACATGAATACATAGCAGGTTCCAGGCATGGCAAGACTTGTCTCAAAAATACAAAACACATAAAGGAAAAAAGCAAGCTTTTCATTCTGGTCGAAAAGAGACACATAAGATGGCTCCAAGCAGGGCAAGCCCTGACAAAAGCAAAAAGCGGTCAAGCTCTTTTGGCACATTCCCACAGCCTCGTGTAGGTTCTTGCTGGGTTCACAACCCCTGGAGTGTATCTACCGCTCGTCTACCTGAGAGCTAAAAGACAGTGTCATCATCTATGTCTGGATGAGCAACTTCAAGACTTATCTGAAATTGCAAAGTAAACAGGAGGTTTTAAAATCAGATCTTTCTGATTCTAAATCCCACCCTCAAATGAGTGAAAACATGTACAATTCAAAATAAAAATTTAATTTAAAAACCTTGATCTCATCTTCTTTGTCTCCCCTCCTGCAACAGAGGTTCAAGAAGCCCATGCACAGCAAAACACCCCTGATGCCTCTCAGTGGGCCTGCTCAGGGTTCTGGCACTGACACCAGTCAGCAGCCCTACTTTTCAATCTAACCCCACCACTAGAGAAGAAAACATGGCAGGATTGCCTCCCCCAAGCCAGAGTCAGTCTTTGCTCTCCTTGAATTACATATGTTAGAACCATTAACATCCCCAGCAGCGCTCTTGCTAGTATGAAATACACTTTTTAATGTATATGCTATATTGTCCAATATGGTAGCCACTAATTACATGAGCCTGTGGAGCCCTTGAAAGAAGCTGCTCCAAACTGAGGTATGCTGCAAGTATAAGATTCTTGGTGGCTTCAAATTTTTAGTATGCAAGGAAAAGGAATTCTCATTAATAATTTTTTTTGGAGTGGTGCTGAAGGTCATGCCTGCCACTAAGCATGAACTCCACCACTGAGCTTCATCTCCAGCAATAATTTTGATGATGATTACTTCTGGAAATGATAACATTTTGGATGTATTAAGTTAAATAAAATATAGGGCTGGGGATTTAGCTCAGCGGCATAAGCGCCTGCCTTGCAAGCAGGCAGTCGTGAGTTCCATCCCTGGTACCGATAAAAATGAAAAAGACAAAAAATAAGTTAAATAAAATAGATCACTGACATTAATTTTACCTGATCCATTTTACCTTTTATAATCTGACAAAGAAAATAGAAACATACCTAAATGGCTCGTCTTGGGGACTCACAATACATTTCTACTGGACTGCACATCTCTAAACAATAAATAAATACCTTGGTGCTGCAGTGGTTGATTAATCTACTAACACAGTTGCAAATATAAATGAATTTTTGGTGAAAGTGATGAACTGCAAGTGGAGAATGTCGGTAAAAAATATATGCAGTGGGGGCTGGGGAATTAGCTCGGCGACATAAGTGCCTGCCTTGCAAGTGTGCGGTCATGAGTTCAATCCCTGGTACCGATAAAAAGGAAAAAGACAAAAAAAAAAAAAAATATATGCAGTGGAGAACACAGGAAAGCATCATACACTGGCTGAGAGTTTTCCCAGGAATCCCAAGGATGTAGGTGGAGAGCTGTAAGGGTAATGGATGCATGTGCATTAGCAAGAGCAAGTTCCCATTTTTGAATCTCTGAGGAAAGCATGAGCAGCCATACATCCACCAGTCTGCACTAGAAGTCTGACCTCAGATTTGAAGCCTGTGTCTCCACTCCTCATGGTGAGCTCAGTTGTTAAGTTGTAGCCTTTGATGGTGTGCTGTTGATTCCCTTGTTCCACAGGAGGATGCAGATGTGGAGTGGAAATTCGCCCGAGCAAAACTCTGGCTGTCTTATTTTGATGAAGGAAGAACGCTACCTGCCCCTTTTAATCTAGTGCCAAGTCCTAAATCATTTTATTATCTCATAATAAGAATCAAGATGTGCCTCATAAAACTCTGCAAATCTAAGGCCAAAAGCTGTGAAAATGACCTTGAAATGGGCATGCTGAATTCCAAATTCAGGGTAGGTAACATCTGGTTTGTGGGGCTAGAAAAAGCAGGGGGAAGAGGTGGCAAAGGGAGGCATACATGTTTGAGTCTCATGGTGGCTCCTGATGCAAGGTAAGCTGGGGGATGCAAGGGGTTATTGCCTTCCAGAATCTGCCGGGCTCATGATAGAGCTCCAGCAGAGCAGAGATGGCCCAAGGTACCAACCCTCCTCCTTGTAACTCCTTGGAGTGGTGCACTACTGAGGACTTAGAAAGCTACCTGCTGCCTGCTCCCTGGCTGAGCCACAGTCTCATAAGGGGAGCTCCTTACTGGACTTGAAATGGTCTTTTCCAGAAAGTATCTGGAGAATGAACTCTGAGCAAAAGTTTTTTTTGCCTACTTTGTCTTCCTCATGTAGTCTTAACATTGAACATAGTAGAGCCTCTGAGAAGTGCTAGAGGAAAGACAGTCACATAACTTTAACTCAGTGCTTCCCAAACCAGTTGGAGTCTCCCAAACAATATCCTATAACCTTTGTGAACACTGCAGAGCTAGAGTCCCTGGGATCTGTTCTGAAAAACCAAGCAGCAAGGGGTAAATCGGCTTCCAGAAAGCCCCTTATAGAATCAGTCCTACATGTAGATACTGTTCATTCGAGTCCTGCCATACTTATATGTCCGTTTGTTTTTTTCCTCAGAAGACTCGCTACCAGGCTGGCATGAGAAATTCTGAAAACCTGACTGCAAACAACACTTTCAGCAAGCCCACCAGATACCAGGTAACCACCCCCTTTCCCCAGGGAGGGCAGCAGTAGATGTCACTAAGACATGAATTTAGTCATGTGACTGTCCTGTCTTCACAGGACACAGTTCACACCTTCCTTTGCTGAACACATATGTATTGAGTGGCTGCTGCATGCCAGGCACTGTGGCATTTACTGGAGATACAGGCATGGTGCCTCCCTTAGTGGCATCTTCAGGTTAATGAGGGTCACGGATGATGAACAAGAAAACACACTGATGAATTTATGATGTCAAATTGATAAAAGAGCCGAGCAGAAAAGAATAAGGTTCACAAGTGGAGAATAATAGGAAGCCCCTATTTGACAGAGCATCTTCAAGGAGAAAACAGTTGGCCAAAACCTTACGGATAAGAAGGGGTTAACCATAGAGGAAGGGGTGCAGCCAGTGGAGCAGCATCCGCGAAGGATGAGAGAGAACTTGGCAGTCCTGAGAAGCTGGAGAGGGGATTAGAAGTGTAACTGGGGAGGTAGAGTCCGACACTGTCAGGATTTGAATTATATTCCAAATTCATCAATACTATTGGAAGGGTGGCAGCATAACTTTGCAGAGAAGGTGAGGTCATAAAATTGTGTCTTCATGTTTATTTTCTTAACATACTTTAGATATACATAGTGATAACAGTCGTCATAAAGAATATGTACCTGTGCATGGTATATCTTGCTTCTTTTTTTCCCATTCCCCTTCCCTTCTTTCATCCCCTCTTCCCTTCTTTACTTACAAAAGTTTTGTTTCTATTTTTCGCTGTTTTATTTTCTTGTCCCTTCTTTCTTCCCCCAACCCTTGTTCCCCTTCTGATTTAAACATTTTCCTAATATCTTCCAGTATCTATGAGACATTTTATTCCTTATTTACACTTTAAGTTTCTCGCACCAGAGAAACCATGCAATATTTATACAAGTGTATCTGATTTATTTCACTTAAGCGGACACTCTCTCAAGGTCCATCCATTTACCTAGAAATGTCTCAAGTTCATACTTCTTTATGACAGAGTAGTACTGTGTTGTATTGAGAAAAAATCTTCTTTGCCTATTCATTGGTTGATGGACATTTGGGTTGTTTCCAAGAATTAGCTGTTACAAACTGTGTTGCTACAAACAAGGATGTACATATATCATTATAGTATGATGCTTTTAACTCTTTTGGGAAAATACCAAGATGGGGGATAACTGAATCAAATGGAAACCTAATTTTAGTTTTTTGAGGAATTGCCAACTGATGTCCACAGTGGTTTCACCAGTATATATGGTCTCACTAACAGTGGAAAAGGGTCCTTTTTTCCCTAACCCCTGACAGCACTTTTTATGGGTTGATTTCTTGGTAACAGCCATTCTTTCTAAAGTGAGATGGAATCTCAGCATTGATTTAATTTGCATTTCTTGAATGGCAGGTGTTTTTGAACATTTTTCATGTATTTATTTGCTGTTCATAGTTTTTCATCTGAAAGGTATATGTTCATTTCGTATGCTCATTTTTTATTGGGTCTTTAAATTTTGGAGGTCTGATTTTTTATAGTTCTTTATATATTATAGATATTAGTCCTTTGTCTGATGAACAAATGGTAAAAAATTTTCCCACACTGTGTGTTGTCTCTTCACTCTGGTGGTGGTTTCTCTTGCTGTGTAAAACTTTTTAATAAGAAGAGATCCCAGTTGTTAATTCTTTGTGATAGTTCTTGTGCAGTCAGGGTTTTGTTCATAAACCTAAACCATAGACATTTGCCTAAACCAATGTCTTTAAGAGTTTTAGCTGTCCTATTTTCCAGCAGATTTAGTGTTTCTGGTTTAATATATAGATATTTGACCCATTTTGATTTTAGTTAGTGCATGGTAAGAGATATGGTTCTACATTCAACCTTCAGCATGTAGAAAGCCAGTTTTCCTAGAACCATATATTAAAGAGACTGTGTTTCTTCCAGTGAAGGTGTTTGGGCCCTTTGCTAAACATAAGGTGGCTGAGAGCATTAGCAGCTGTTTCTGTACCTTCTATTCTGCTCCACTGATTATCAAGTTGTTTGTTTGTTTGTTTGTTTGTTTGGGTTTTTGCCAGTACTATGGTGTTTTTATCACAGTAGCTTTGTAGTGTAACGTCACGTAAGAGATTGTGATGCTCCCTGCCTTGCCTTGTTGTTCAGAATTGTCTTTGTGATTCTAGGTCTTTTCTGATTCCATGTGAATTTTAAGTTCATTTTCTCTAGTTCTCTGAAATATATTTTTGGTACTTTGATTGGGATTTTATTAAATCCCTGAAACAGTTTTTGAAATATGGCCATTTTCATTATGTCGGTTTTGCATATCCAACAAGGGATATCTTTCCATTTTCTGATATTCTCTTTGATCTCTTTCTCTGAGTACTATAGTTTTCAATGTAAAGGTCTTTTACTTTCTTCATTAGATGGATTCCTAGTATTTCATTTTTCTTGATGCTATGGTGAAAGGTATTGTTTCCCTAATTTTTCTGTCAGTGAGTTTGTTATTTGTGTGCTGGAATGTCATTGATTTTTGAATAGTGACTTTGTATCATGCTGTGCTACTGAATTTGATTATTAATTCTAGGAGTCTTTTGGTGGAGACTCAAATAATGATCTGCAAATAATGATAATTTAATTTCTTCCCTTCTAATCATTATTTCTTTTTCTTTCTTATTGCTCTGGCTAATGTTTTAAGAATTATATTGAATGGGAGTGATGATAGTGGACATCTTTGTTTTGTTCCTGATTTTATGGTGAAAGCTTTCAATTATTGATCATTTAGTAAGACATTGGTGGTTGGTTTGTCATACATGGCTTTTTATCAGATTGAGATAAAGAACATCTATTTCAAATTTCTGTAGAGTTTTTTGTCATGAATAGGTGTTAAACTTGGTCAAATGCTTATTCTGTTTCTATTGAGATGTTCATGTGGATTTTTCCTTGGCTCTATTGAGATGATGCATTACATTTATTGATTTGCACATGTTGAACCATCACATCCCTGGAATGAATCCTACTTGCTTCAATATTTGCTCCATTCTGTTTGTCACTATATTGTTGAGGATTTTTGCATCTATGTTAGTTAAGGAGATTGGCCTGTAATTCTTGTTTTGGGTTAAGTCCTTCTGTGGTTTTTGTATCAGGATAATGCTTGCTTCCCTGGAATGGATTTGAGAATACTGCTTCACTTTCAATTTCATTAAAGAATTTGAAAAGTGGCAGCATTAGATTTTCTTTAATTTTTTTTTTAGAATTCAGTAATGAATTTATCAGGGCCTGGGCTTTTCTTTGTTGGTAGATTTTAATTACGTTTTCAATTTCATTGACTGATACTGGTTTATTTAGAATTTTTTATCTTCTTGACTCAGCTTCGGTAGTTTATATGTATCTAGGAATCTATCCATTGATTCTGCATTTTCCATCTTGTTAGAGTACAGATTCTCAAAATAGGTGTTGATCTTCTGGATTTCTGCAGGATCTGTTGTGATTTTTACCCTTTTCATTCCTGATTACATGAATTTGAGTCTTTCTTTCCTTTTCTGATAAGTTTAGCTAATGATTTGTCAATTTTATTTAATCTTTCAACAAACCAACTCTTGGAGTCATTGATTATATTGTTCTTTTAGTCTCCATTGCATTAATTTCTGCTCTGACATTTATAATTTTCTCCCTTGTATAATTTTCTTTGGCCTTGACTTGCTCTTCTTTTTCTAAAAGCTTGAAGTTCAATATTAGCTTGTTTACTTGACCTTGCTGTGTTTATCTGATGTGGGTGTTTACCACTTACAAATTTCCCTTGTAGACTGCTTTCATTGTGTCCAAATATTCTGGTATGATTTACTGATATTATCATTTAATTGTAGGAACTCCCTAATTTCTTCTTTATCTGTGAACCATTGGTTGTTCAGGAGGGCATTATTTATCTTTTATGTGTTTATGAAGTTATTGTGATTTCTTTTTGCATTGATTTCAAATTTCATTGCACTATGACCTGATAATGTGTATGGGATAATTTCAGTTTCTTTTCATTTACTGAAGCATGTCCCATGCACTAATATGTGATCTATTTTGGAGAATGTCCCATGTGAAGCTGAGAAGAATGTGTTTTCTGACGTTCTCAAGTGTAACACTATAGACATTTACTAGGTTCAAAAGTTTGGTTCAATTCTGCTATTTCATTGTTGATTTTTTTATTCAGTTGATTTGTCTATTTGTGATAGTGGGACAGATGTCACCCATTACAATTGTATTAGTGCTTACTTGATTTTTTATATGTTAGTATTGGTTATATATAATTGGGTGCCCTGGTATTTTGTGCATATATATTTATGATTGTTATTGCTTCCCCTTGGATTTTTCCCTTTACAAGAGTGTAGTGACCTTCTCTGTTTCCGTTAATGTCTGGACTTGAAATTCACTTTGTCTGCAAATAGAATAGCTACTTCTGCTTCCTTCCAGGTTTTTATTTTGCATTTTTTCCAACCTTTCACCTTCAGCTTATGCATTTCTTTTTTAATTAAATGTTTTTCTTGAATGTAGCATATTGTTGGATCTTGCTTGTTGATCATTCTGCTAGTCTATTTCTTTTCATTGGTGAATTGAGACCATTAATATTGATGGTTATAATTGATATGTATTGACTTATCCTTGCCATGTTATTTTCCTGTTGTTGGTTCCCTTTTTCCCTCTCTGTTTAACTGTTTTCCTTGCCTACTGGAATCATTCTGTTGAAGTTCATGGAGTTGTAGTCCTTGTTATCTCTTTCTAGAATGTCCTTCAGAACATTCTGAAGTGCTGATTTGGTGCTCATGAATTTCCTCAAATGTTGTCATGTCTTATTTCTCCCATCAATTTTGAAAGATAGTTTTGCAGGGTACATCAGTCTGGTTTGGAGACTGTTTTCTTTTGGGCTTGAAATACTTCATTCCAAGCTCTCCTTGATTTGAGACTTTGTGTAGAGAAGTCTGCTGTGATTCTGACGGGTTATTTTTTCTCTACTCATTTTTA